CCGTCATGAAGCAGCAGCTCGGCCGCACCGGCAGTCTCCCCCAGAGCCCGAAGACCACGACGGGGATCTACGTCCTCTACCTTTTCGCTCTGCTCCGGTCTCTGAGCCGCCAGCCAAAGGAAGGCATGCCCACAGTGCTCAGGAGACTGTGCTGCCTGGCGGCCGAAGGCATCTGGAAGCAGAAGGTCCTCTTCAAGGAGAAGGAGGTGCGGGCGTACGCACTGCACGAGGAAGAAGTCCTCCCGCTCCTCCTCAATGAGCACCTCGTCCAGAAGGACATCTCCTGCGTCAGCACCTACAGCTTCATCCACCTCAGCTTCCAGGAGTTTTTTGCGGCACTTTTCTACCTGCTGGAAGATGAAGGGGAGGCACAGGAACCCCTGGCCGGTCCCCCCAGCGACGTGAAGGAGCTGCTGGAGAGCTACGGCAACTCCAGGAACTACTTCATGCTAACCGTGCGGTTCCTCTTTGGGTTCTTAAATGAGGAACGCAGGATGGACCTGGAGGAGGAGTTGGGGTGCAAAATCACACCCAGGAATACACAGGAGTTACTGGCGTGGCTTCAAAACAGCCAGAAAACACCCCTGGCTCTTCTGATGAAGCAGGCAGCAGTGATCCGCGAGCTGGAGGTCTGCCATTGTCTGTACGAGCTCCAGGACGAACAAGTTGTGGCGACCGCCTTGGACCCTTTCGTGGGGGTGTGCCTACGAGGGCTCAACCTTAACCGCTTCGATCAGATGGTCCTCTCCTTCACCGTAAAAAAATTCCCCAAGCTGGAGTCGCTCGACCTGGGGCACTGCTCCTTTCTGTGGGAAGACCCCGAGGACGACGTGGGCCCGCCGCCGGCCGGGTTGATGAGGGCCCGGAGCCGCAAAGCGGCAAATCCCTTGGAGCCCAAAGAGCCGTGATGACCCACCGGCGGAGCCGGCAGCGGGGCTGGTCCTCCTGCCACACTGGGCACATCAGATAGGGTAGAAAAGGATAGGAATAGGGAAAGGATAGGAATGGAATAGGAAAGGAACAGACTAAGAAAGGAATAGAACAGGAGTAGGACTAGGACTAGGATGCCTCTCTTCTTTGTTTTCAGGGAAAAACAGCAAGCAGAGGGGAAGCAGTCACCCATCCACCTGCTTTGTCAAGCCTTGGAAAAATCAGGCTGTAAATTAAAGACGTTAAGGTACATCGCTCTTCTCTGCCAGGCGAAACGGGAAAACAAGCACACCCCAGCCTTTTCACGGCTGGGGACGAGAGTCACCTCTGCGCAGAGCCCTCGAGGGCCTCCGCTGTCGGTGCCCGCAGGCGCTGGCGGGTCTCCTCGCTGAACGGGGACGACGACCACATGCCACCACGGCTTGCCACTCGGCGGGACGGGCTCTTCTCCTGCTCCCCTGGGGCCAACCGTGCAGACCGGCCCGGTCTGTGGACATCATCGGTGGTGGCCCTGTCGGCGAGGGGTTGGTTGGTGTTTCCGTGCGGCGGGGCAGCTGTGCGCGGCTCCTCTCCACATCTCTCTCGCAGGTTTGATCGGTGCCAGCTCACCGGGGCCTGCTGCGGGGCTCTGGTCTCCGTTCTCAGCATTAACCCCACCCTGACGGAGCTGGACCTGGCTGGGAATGAAGACCTGAGGGACGGCGGCGTGAAGCTGCTGTGCGAGGGGCTGAGACGCGGCGCCTGCCAGCTGCAGATGCTGCGGTGAGGGATGCTGCCAGCGCTGGGAGGCTGCAGGACCTTTTGTCTCTTCTGCTTGAGAACCTGGAAGAGGGAGGAAAAAAGAAAAAGAAAAGAGAAAGGCCTATTTACAGATGCTGCCATTGCCGAAGATAGCGTGAGGCATTGCAGGTCTGCTTGTTGCAGCAGCCTGGCCTTTATTATTGCCTTTTCCATCGATATAATTTAGTTTCACATTTTAAAATGAATGAGTCTCTGCTAGGACACTGTAGGAAAGTAAGAGAGTGAACTCATTTTCAGTGCCGAGGCCAGATGAAGAAGTTAGAGGAGAGGTCTGTGCTACCGTCCCCGCTGTTTGCTTGCCTGTGGGTGCCTCGGTGCAGCCCAGACACCTTCTCCCCGGGCTCTTGCCCTGCAGCTGTGGGTGGTTTTGGGTCTCTCTGTGCCCGGGCAGGGGCAGGGCCGGCCACGCACTGTGCACAGACACGTAATTGCAGAAGCAGATTCACCCCATGGGCCATTTCTGGGAAGGGGATGAACTGTCCCTTAGTGGTGTCTGCATTTTCCCCTCCATTTTTCTTTTGGGTGTTTCCCCCATTTTCCCCTGGTATAGATTCAGCCTGGACAACAAGATCTGAAAGAGGGGATCTCTCTGAAACTTCAAAAGTGAGGCAGATTATTCTTACCCATTCAAGCAATATTAATTGGTTGCCTCCAGACCTTTACTCCCTGGTTGAGCGGACGCTGTTTGGATGCCTTACCTCTCCACTCCCACGCTCCAGCACAGCGGGATTGCTGCCGGGTACCGTCTCACGGCTGCACTTTGGCATTTTGTCCCCTTAGAATTTGAGAATTTGGGTTGTGTTTTGCCTTTGAGCCGCTGTCAGCATCACTGCACCCAGGGATGCCAAGCAAGGAAACTTGGCAGCAAACACCAGATACAGACGCACCAGCTTTGGGAGAGGGATAGGGAGAGGGCAGTGAGATGCTCCCCTCTCTTCTCCAGCACGGCGTCCCCAGAGCCACTGCAGGAGCCACCTCCATGCTTGGGGCCAGGCAGAGGACGCAGGACGCTGGCCAGGTCTCCTCTGACCTGGGGCGATGGAAAGGAGGGCTGCAGCACCGACGGGCCAGCAGCCTCACCACCGTCTCTCCTGCAGGTTGGGCTGCTGCAACCTCACGGCCACCGGCTGCAAGGACCTCGCCGCCGTGCTGGGCACCCTGCGCAGCCTGGTGCAGCTGGACCTGAGTGACAATCCCCTGGGGGACGGCGGCATGCAGGAGCTGTGTGGGGCACTAGCGAGACCCAGCTGCGGCGTGCAAAAGCTCTGGTACGGGGCGTCGGGCTGGCGGGTCCTGCTTTGTTCCCAGTAGATGCCCTTCGGGTGTGATTGCAGCCAGGCGTGCAGGATGCTCCTCTGCCCCTGCTGCACCACGTCACTCCCCCTGAGCTGCGCTAATTAAACAGCCTGACCACATCCCTGGGCTCAAAAAGCAGCGGGTGATTTTCAGAGAAAAGTGGCTGGCCGGGGGGCAAGCC